AATACTTGAAAGCAGCAAACCTATTTTCCTTTGGTTTTCCATATCCCTACTAAAACTGAATCATCAATATGAGAGTTTCTGGGTCCTTCTTCATGGTTACTCTCTCTATATTCTCTCATTTATCAGTGTCCGTATTCCACTGTAGTACTCTACAAATGGTACAATACACAGTGCACCAGATGTGGTTAGGCAGAACAATTTAGTAGACCTTCTAAGGGTTTATCTTGTCTTTATTATCCTTAGGTTAAGTGAGAGGTAAATGGGTCACTATAAATATTTTGAAGTATCCTGATAAATTAGTAATTTTGAATGATGTTAAATGAAGATTTAAAATATTTGCAAGTTAAATGTACTCTACATTATTCGCCTTACACAGAAAAGTTGTTGGTAATTACTTTAAAATAATTAACAAATGTGGATTGCATTTTATTTTGCTTTTTTTGGTTTTCAGAGATAATGTGTCATTTCTTATATAATGAAAAAGTAACGATTATTAATTTTTCTGTTTTCCTTATTTCACTATCTGCCTTCACATCTTTATTTTTACTGGTATAACCAAAACAAAGGGAGGATATTTTTAAGGTTGAACACATACCTATCTAAATTATTAAATCAAAATTTTCACAGACAAAAATTAAAATACCATATAAATACAAAGTTTTATTCCTATGGAATCCTTTATTGGTTATTACTCACTACGAATTTGTCTGAATGGATTTTTCCTAAATTCCAGTTTAAAAAATTCTATTGACTCCTTAAAAATAAAAAGTAAATAATTTTATTAATGTTTTTCAGAGCCAGAAGTGGAACTGTTCAACTATTATGTTTTAATAATTATCAAAATGTTAAGAAACCATGATAGTGCTTAAAATAATTCTATTACCACTGACCAAAAATAAATCTTGATGATTGTCATATTGCTGCTAATCTTATGCTTTCGGATAAGTGCACTTATATTTTTACTGGCAAGGTGAAATCTTACATGAAATATAGTTGACCCGGTATGTACTGGAGTGGTTTCTGGACTGGTTTATGTTAAATTACCACTTGGTTCTGTTCTGTGGGTTCTCTACTTCAGTTGTACCAGTGCTATCCAGGCATAGAAATGTTCAGATTTAAAGCATCCAATCTTGTTTGTAATGCCTTTATTTATGTAAAGATGTGTATATAGTGTTACTACTGAAACATATAAAAATAAAAGTGAATAATATACTTTTATTATGTTGAATTCAGCTTCCAACTGTAGAAATGTTTAAAACTTTTTGCATAGAATTTCTGGACCATTATGTATTTGTCAATATTAGAAATTCAATTTTTGTAGAGATAAATCTCATTATAGAAAAACCTGTCAACACAACGTAAGAGAGGAAGTCGTGATTTTGCTAAAATAAATTTACATCTTAAGGTAATTTAATTCAGTTCTAAAACTTTAAAGAAAGACATATCTCTAGAATGGGATATAGTGAAGAATAAAAGTAAGAATGCAAGGTATTCCTTCATGGTTTTCAAAGCCTACAGCAGATTTATAGAGAAAATTGCAGCAGAGTTGAAAGAAGTCTAGAGACCCCTTTCTGATCCCAGCTCTGCCCTATTAGCAGGGAAGCATTAGATAAGGCCCAGCCTCTGTGCACTGTGGTTTCTTCATCTCTGAAAAATGGGAATTGAACCTCAGCAATCTCTTTTATGTGGTTCTAGTTCTAGTATCCCTGTATTTAAGGAGTGAACCATAATGAGCCTACAAGTATTTACCTCTGTTGATAAATAGCTTGTCTTTCAAATTGTTTTTCTAAAGCTGTTTTGAAATTTGAAAAAAATATTTCCTCTGCTTTTTAAAATGCTGTAGGTCTTGTTTTGCTAAGAAAAAAAAAAAAAAAACTGTCTCCTTTAACCAATGGTTAAATTATAACAAGTCAGAATCCCTCGAAATGATCTAGCCCAGAGAATTCACTGGTCTTTGTTTTGTGATATTTTAACCATCCTGTAAACAAAATCAGTAAGAGTAATTCTTCTGACCTGCTTAAAATGTGAGTTTTTTTCTAAAAAGTAATTTCACCAGGATTGTTTTCAAAGGATCCACTCCCAAAATATTTGATTGCATATGATTGTGCAGCAATCCAGAAGAAAACCTGATATAAGTGGTGATTTATTCCCCACACATTTTCTTGATACAGAATAAATGGATTTAGCCTTTTTTTTTTCTGTAGTTACTCCACTTCTGGATAGGGGCTCCAGCAATGACAGTACTGATCAGTTTTCGATTACAAATGATAAGCAACATTTTTGTAGGTACAATGAGGAAAAATAATGTTTGTGCAGAGAGAGAGGAGATATATAGGGGGAAAAAAGAACAAGATTATGAAAATCTTCAACTAGTATTTTTCTGTATCCAAAATTTCCTTGATAATTTCATTTAATAAATTCTAAAATTATATGGCATTCCTTATGAGCAGGTGCATTCTAACATCATACATGTGACAGTATTGAAATCTAGAGGTGGAAATAATCCCTGGCTCACCTTCTTTTTATTCTCTGGTTTGTGTGATAATCTTAATTGTAATATAAGTGTGTATTTTGTTGGAAATTTACAAACTGTATAATGCTTATTAAAGACTCATTATATTGGAATATGTTAAGGGGGACTGCTTATTTTCTGACTAACATATCAGTATTTTTTATTATGATAAACCATGTAACACAGACTCATGAATTTTGGGGCAGTGGAAATTATTTCCTTTGACTCTTTTTTCTGCATATCATCAATTTGCTTTTTACTCATGTTTCCTCTACTGTCGCTGTAAGCTTACTTGTTGTTTTTTCTTTCCTTTTCTTCATGCTGTCGTTTAGAGCCCTACAGAGAGACAAGTATGGGAGTAAAGCTAAACATTGCATATCAAATGTAATTTTTTTTAGTTCACTTTTATTGCATCACATATAGATGATGTAGTTATTAAAAACAGTTCATCTCACAATTTAAAAACTAAAGAGCCTATAAATCAACTTATATAAATATATGCTAATAGAGATTAGACGCTTTTGTTGTCTGATTCTTTTATTCTGTCACATAATCAACATGGTTGTTAAGTCTCATGTAATGTTCGTGTGAGTTAAATTGTTTTTAAATTAAGCATTTATTTTTGCTAAGTAATCCATAAACTTTTAATTTTTATTAGTACATTCCATCATAAAAGTGTGTCATATGCAGCATCCTCACTTTATTTTACAATGGCTGTTTTTAGTCTCTGCCTAATGCATTGACAACAGAAATACAAAAGCACATGTTTCAATGCATCAGCCATGCAACCCTAACCATCAAGCATCCCATCGCAGCCTCTGCAGCCGCAGTCACCCATCACATACAGCCCTTTAAAAGGCATTTACTTTTTTTTCTTAACATTGTGGATTTGTGTACAAGATATAACATGAAAATAAATTGCTTCAACCTATGTCTGTGATAGCTGCTTTTTAATGCATTTTATGCATTGCTATTTTTTAAAAACAGTGTTTCTTGAATACAGAGCGTGCATCAGAAGTTCGTATAAAAATTGACATATGCGACTGTTCATTTAAACTAGTATTGAACTAGTCAAGTTTTGATAAATGTAACTGCATCACAGATATAGAATGACTGCTATATTTTCACAAGTTAGCAGCATATTGAGAAGTTTAATAGAATTCTTTGACTAATTTTTTATAAAAGGAAATACCCTTCCTTATTTACCAGAATTGGTTAAGTGTTTGTGTGTGTTTTTTCTTTTGTGGTTGCATTTGAATTGATTTAAGAAACTATTATAGATTATTGAATTTCTGTTCATTCAAGGGAATGCTAAAACCTTGAAGAAATATGTGGTCAAATTTAATTCACTGCAGCTGTTTCTACCAGAATAAAATGTTTATCCTCTTTCACATCCAAAATTTAATATGCCCCAAAGTCTTCACTCATTATAAAATGGTAACAGTAGTATTGACGACATAATTTTGGGAATCAAATCCCTATTTTTACACTTTCTCATACAGTATTAAGTAATGACCCTGAATAATCACTAAGGGCCTAATATGAAATAATAACCAAAGTGCTTAGAGCAGAAAACAATAGAAAGTAAATCCAAATACTTTTGAAAGTTCCTAGTGTGTAAATTATTTTGGTGTGCCATTTATTTGACTAGCATTATTTAATGACTATATCATTCTGACAAATTTAACATAATCCTTTTGTGGTTTTATGTATAGGGATTATTTAATTAATCTATTTATTTATCACATTCATTTACTTATTTGGTAGTAAGGACTGAACCCAGGGGCGCTTTATCAGAGAGCAAAATTCCCAGCCTTTTTTAAAGTTTTTTTTTTTTTTTTTTTTTTTAAGACAGGGTTTCGCTGAATTGCTGAGGCTAGCTTCTCTTGCGATACTCTGGAGTTACTGGAATTATAGGCATGCGCCACCACACCTGGTTTGGGATTATTTTTAATTTCACAAAATTATATATTAAATTATGAAAAACTATTTCTTTTACTTTTTACTAGCATATTGAATGGACCACACATGAATTATGTTAATATTGTAGCTACTTCAATAATAAGAGAGCATGTAAAATGAAAGGTAACAAATTATTTAATTGACCTTGATGGCTATAAATTGAAAGCTATGAATGACTACACCAAAATTTTGTGTTATTTTGCCCATATTATAACCAAACATGCTTCAAATAATGTCAGACAGTGTGTGAAAATTGCCAATTTATAATTCATAGGTTTTTTAAAAAAATTCTTTTGAGATTTATTTTAAATACTTCTTTTCCAAGATTTTGATCAATTGTCCAATTATACACATATATTTGGTTATATACAGCTAAATTTAATGTTTTTGTTCCTGGACATTTTAGATTAAGTTAAATGCTAGCGCTTTTTATTTCATAGTCGATAAATGTTTTGCTTTTGTGTTTGTGTGTGTGTTCTATGGCCTATTGGATATGAATGTCATAGTGTCTTGTAATCTTTTTCAG